GGAGGTGTAATCCCTCCTGGTCAAACTTGTGCAAATAGGCTTTAAGCTAGTTTTAAATCATGCAATAACCCTGAAATACAATTATTGCAAATAATAATGTTTTATACAACCCTTGTACGAAACAAATCTATTCTATCATCAATAACTAACACCGAACTTGAAATCACTCACTGTGAGGGCGTAATGGTAGGTTCCCACTGCCGATCAAACCAACCCGACCAAGCCCAATCAAGCCCGATCACCCATTTTTCCCCGACCAATCCCGACCCCATGCCTAAACACAAGCTCTTCCCGACCGCTAATCGACCATTGACGACCCACATTCGACCATTCACGACTCCTGCACGACGTATAGTCGACCACAACTTCGATCTCTTCTCGATCATTCCGATCTACATACAATCCCAACGCGATCCCTCCTAGACCAAATAGACGTACACACGATCTCTACACAATCTCGACCCGACCAGATCGACCTGTTCGAACAGGGATCCAAGATGACTCGTGAATATTATTGAGTGGTTGCACAAAATATTATCGTCAGCTGATGGTACAGTACTCATTTTTGATCAGCGTTCAGTTCATCTCAGACACTCAAGAGATGTAAATAGAACAGTTACATTTGTGGGCAGTGGCGGATCCAGGGGAGGGGGATGGGCCCGGGGGACCGGCCCCCCTTGCAACAAAAACAAAGAATGTGTGCTAAAGAAAGCAACAAAAAGAGTCTTCCTCCCCCCCCCCCCGCCCCCCCAAGCCACAGAACAAAATATCTGACGACGTAATTTTCCAATTTCCGGCCCCCCCCCCCCCCCCCCCCCCCCCCCCCCAAAAAAAAAAAAAAAAAAAAAAATGGCTCATCTGACCGTGATTAAATGCCTTAAAACCCCCAAAGCTTCCGGGAACTCTGCCCCCTAGATTTCACCTTGGGCCCAAAGTCAGGTACCTGGATGCTCATCTGACGGTAATTTAATGTTTAAAACCCGTGACGCCAATTAGTGGCCTGCCAGTGTCACAAATAAGGTATCAAAATATGTTCATCTGACGATAATTAAAGGTATAAAACCCCTGAGCTTCTGGGGGCTCCGCGCCCTGGACCTAACACCAATTTATGTCCTGCCAGTGTCACAAATAAGGTATCAAAATAAGCTCATCTGACCGTAATTTATGGCCCCAAACCCCTGAACTTCAGGGGGCTCCTCCCCCTGGACCCCACCCCAATTCGTGATCTGCTAGTGTTACAAATAAGGTATAAAAATATGCTCATCTGACGATAATTAAATGCCTATTCCCCCTGAGGTTCTAGGGGCTCCACCCCTTGACCTCCGCCGAGAAGCGTTCAGCGGGTTCTGCATGTAAGAGTGGGATGATGGGGATTTTTTTGTCTACCCCCCCCCCCTCAACTGCCGATGTCACCAATTACGTACCAATATTTGGCTCGCATAATTTCAAATTTGGCCCCCCTAAGAAATCCTGGATCCGCGCCTGCGTGTCGCTGTCACATGTCACTACCAATTCTAGAAGCAGTTAACTTAACTAGTATCAATTGTAAATAGCCAGTTGGCTTTTATGTTATTTTTGAGTACCCAATAAAAAAAAAAAAAAAAAAAAAAAAAAAAACTTAACCAGTATCAATATATGTGATTAGATCAGCACGTAACTGTTTCCTTGGTTGAGTTGCGATCGGAAAGATTGAGTGCGGTCGAGAAGTGCTCGAGATGTAATCGAGAAGCAGTCGAGAAGTGAGCGAGTTCGGTCGAGTAACTGTTTAGGGCAGACATGCTCCGATTGTGAAGCGGTTGAGTTGTTGATCGAGTTGATCGGGAACCCATTGTGTAGAAGTTGTGTATACATCGAGATGATCGGGTAGTGATCGGCGGAAAAAATCCACTCCGATCAAACTAGACCTCTATACGATCGATTCCCGATCAGCTCGACCCCAACTCGACCAATACACGATCGCTGTACGATCGCTTGCCTTCTCGACCCCTACACGATATTTTTTGACATGCCAAAGATTGTCGTGTAGGAAGCCAGATCTATACCGATCAAGGTAGACCGACCCCGATCAAGGTAGACCGACCCCGATTGCCCTTGCCGACCGAGCCCGACCAGGCCAAAATAGCTTGATCGGGTTTGGTCGGGTTGGTTTGATCGGCAGTGGGAACCTACCATAAGGTAATATAAAGTTTTGTAAAATTTTAAAAATTGACTGGATAATGATTCTTTACAATTTTGATATATTTGGATGCCCCTGTGGATGTATTAACAGCAATAGAAAATTTAGCCCCCAAAACACTTCTGCTTTCGAGAAAAATTGATTATAAAAATTTACCGGTGCTCCCGGTAAATTTTGATAAATTTCAAATAGCGCCTACAACCGTACAATGGTAGCTGCGACCATGAAAATCTCAGAATATGTAGTTGTGATATATAATTTCTTAACGGGAATAGCTAATCGGTCGATTTTAGTCAAGAAACATTGTTGTATGGTTTAATTAATATCTTGACCTTGAGAGGGAGCTATACAACACAAAGCGTTTATTATTAACAATTTCATAACTTTAGACTCGATTTCAACCGCGATGACGATCACTGAATATTGTAGGATCGCATATGCTTTCAATATGTTCATTTGAATCAAATTCATGACTCCATACCAAAACTTTGTATTACCATTAATTATTAAGTGTATGGACCGTGACAGAGAATATAGGTGACTCAGTACTCAAACTGAATCATCTCACCAAAAACTTTCGCTCGGAAAAGATGTGCTGGTCTTTCATCTTGGAGACGCGGGGAATAAGATTGACCAATCTAAACGAGTTTTGTATGGTTGGAAAGATAAAATTACATTAAAAAATGACTTTCTTAATCTAAGGGGGCGGTATGCCAATTTGTGACACGGTAATAAAGCTCTGTGGCCCGACTCGTTGATTTTTTACAGAAAACGAGCTGAAAAGAACAGTGTAATGACTACTATTACAAATAAAACCCACTAGTAAGTCACAATGAAATTGTAATATGTTTACTTTACTAGAAAGAACATAGTTTTTGTCGTATAATAGTCAATAAATTAATTAGGCAAAATAAGTGTAACTTTTAGCAGAATTGAAATGGACGTAAAAAAAGACGTGTTTTTCACGTCATTCTCCATAGAACATTTTTGGGGTAATAGTAAAAGCACTTTCCAGTGACCCAAACTTTTTGATATGGGTCCTAAACATTTTAGTATACTTAATCAATTATTTCCATACATATACGTTTGCGATATTATAAATACGTGTCTTTTCATGAACCTTAATTTCAAGGGTTAAAACAGTCAAAAGTGGTATGCATGTAGCTTATATCAGTAGGAAAAGTTGCAATGTTTTCCGGCAGTAAGCTGCTTAAACCAGTAAACTTTGGCACAAATGGAGTGGTTGCAAGACGAAGGCATCGATTCAAATGTTCAGAAAATCTATTCCTTACATGTCTAGTACTGGAAGTTATTATACTGAAGAAAAAGAACCCTGTTTAAACTTTTAGGTCTATATCTGATCTAAGGGGATTGTAACAATTTGACCCTAAAATGGCAGGTTATTTTGGTACTCCCTCAGCTGAGGGGGGCCTCGGAATCTCGGCCATTAAATGACGAAAAATTCTTAAACTAAAACTGACAGAATAAGTCCATGTAATATCATATCTATGTCTCAAATTTGTTTTAATGATATGGTAAAAGAGGACCAATGCCCATATTTTGACCGTTTTCCTAAAATGTCTCAATGTATCATTCAGAACGCGGATTGTATCGCCTGATCTGGTTTTGGCCTCCCTAAAGGCCTCTTGAATAGACTACTGTTCAAATGCTGGCATTTCCAATTACTAAATCTACAAAATAGGAGCTGAACTAACCATCAAAACTCTGACCATCCAAAACATCAGTGTATATTGTCTCTTGCTGCAACATAAAACAGGCTCCCGATGGCTTGAGGTGTCGTAGTCGAGTCTTCTAAAACATTCGACTGAGAATGAAAAGGTAGTGCGTTCGTTCACCGGCACGGCACTTATGTCATTATTTACGTTGCTCCCCTCCATAATAGAGGGGCTTTTTCGGTATATGGGCAATGTATAAAGTGTCAGATGAAATTGACTATTCATGTTTTTTTTCTTTGCCTCATTTGCCTCATCAAACGATTTATTAGGTAAAAATGGTTTACATTCAAAGATAAAATGATACAAATAAAATTGACATAATCACAAAAGCATCATCATTGGCATATTACAAAGAATTTGTATTACAAAGAATTGAGTTTTTGCAAAGCATTTGAAATTTAGTACTACACTGAAATCTTACGCATTTAACTCACATATTGATAAAGCGACCAGAATTTCATGTACTTCTCAAACTCTAATTGATAATATTTTTTCCAATGTAGCTCATAATAAGTTTATAAATGGTCTGTTGTATTACGATATTTCCGACCATTTACCGATATTTGTTGTTTCTAAAGTTCACTTTGTTCAAAAGATGACTAAAAGTGCAATGCATAGAAAACAAACAAAATAAAATATTGAATCGTTAAACTTAGATTTAGCCCAATACGAATGGGGCGATGTATTATCTGCATCTGACGTGAATGTAGCATAAGAACAATTTCTGAAAATTATATTCTATTATTATCATAAGAATATACCCTTTGTCAAAATAAAAAAAAAAGTTAAAAAAGCCAAACAACCATGGATTACTGAGGGTATTTTGCGCTCCATAGTCGCTCGTAATAAGTTGTATAAGGAAGCCCTCACTAGTCAATGTAACGACAAGCTTAAGAAGTATAAAACGTATAGGAATCATCTCATATCTCTTATACGATTGTCCAAGAAGTTATATTACTCTAACAACATAGAAAGTAATCAAACTAACAATAATCTATTATGGAAAACTGTAAAGGAACTCTTAGGCAAGAAAAATACGGAAAGTAATACATGTTTCTTAATTAATGAACAACAAACAACAGATCCAATTAAAATTTCAAAAGCTTTTAATGAGTACTATATAGATGTAGGCCCTAATTTAGCAACTAATATTGATTCAGGTGACATGGACTACAGTAAGTCCTTGAATTTCCCACGTGAAAATTCCTTATTTCTTACTCCAACCAATGTTTATGAAGTTATACATGTGGTTTAACACCTAAATTCTACAAAATCTAGTGGCCATGATTGTATAAGTGTTCACTTATTGAAACAAATAATCTTCAATATCGTAACCCCCCTGATATATATATTTAACCTATCAATTTCAACGGGTGTATGCCCAAATTTGCTTTAAATCGCTAAAGTCATTTTTCATATGGTCATATATAAATGTTCACTTGGATTGCATCATCTAACTCTATTAATTAACTTCTAATTCTACTATTTAACGTTAACCTAAACATCCTTCCCACATATATTACAATGATTTCATGTTTATGTTATTATGCATAGTCTATGTTTATATTCACCATTTATCGTTGACCTATTAATCAACTTGAATTCCACTGCTTACTTAGTAGTCTTAGTATAGTAATAGTACTAGTAATAATAAAAGTAATAATAATAATAATAATAATAATAATAATGATATAATAATAACAATCGGTAATATATTAATTATCGTCCAAAAATATGGTAATAATGCTTTCCACCACCAATACCAGGCAATAACACTAATAATCAATACAAACAACAAGTACAGTAGAACATTGTATTTTCCTATTGATATCTCAAAACACGATTAACATGATATGGAATATGCCTTCGTACTTTATTGCATACGTGCATATACATGGCTCAATATTGTTCCCTTCTATTTGCATCTGCATTGAATCATTCAAAACATATTATATATTTCGTTTTCAGATACCTCAGCAGATAGAAAAATGAAAGAAAAAAAAAGAAAAAGAAAATAGAATAACGTTTTGTTGCTCCATGATGTAAGATTCATGCTTTTCTTATACATCATTCACATTATTCAGAAAATGACAGTGTATAGCAAACTTCAATGAAGGAAGATGAATATATAATTATGTAGATATATATATATATACACTGTATATATTCATGTAGAGAAACTAATCCCATACCCTGACTTTCATGTAGTGGTGGGACCTAAGGTCTACTATTTTTACCCACATTTGTCATACATGTGCAAATCATGGTATTTCAAAAGGAAATATTTCAACTGATCCCCGGTATAAAAAGATTTAGGAGTAAAGCGAGTAGTCAAGGCAAATGAAAACGAAGAAAGATGAGCACAGGACAAAGAAAAGGAAGCCATGATAGTTTATCGGTTTATATAGTATCTTGGTAGATATGATGGTTGGTAGGATACGCGTAGCTCTGAGAAGCGGTATCCGGGTCTAGGTAGGTATGGACGTTTGTCTCTGACTGATCAAATACAGGGTTCTCAACCTGAGGAGACGAAGTAGTGGCTGATTCATCGCTGAAAGTATGAACGCATAGATAAATTGCATAGATGAAATACATAATATTTAACAAATAATAAAGTCCCAAGGAATGGTTATGTAGAAACAGGTCAACATGACATGTGGGAATTGGTATGGTACTTTTATAACGCATGTCATTAACATAATAAGTCTTTCAAGCGGGTTGTGATAACATTTAAAAAGCGTTATGCTTTAGAATATCAACATTGAGTCCCAATTAATAGGTATATATTAACATGCCAACATGAAAGTTGGCATATGGGAATTGCTATGGTATTTTTAAAATACATGTCATTAACATAATATGTCTTTTAAACTGGCTGCCATAACATTTAGAAAGCGTTATGCTTTAGAATATTTATATTGAATAGCATTTGAAAACAAAGAAGAAAGTAATTAAATAACTTTATAGATTAAAGAACAAATACAATCATAATTCAGGTTTTTTTTCATGACCATCAGGTTTTACCCTTGCGTGGAGGAGTACGATGAGAATGGACTGATGAGAGGTAACAGTTAAGTACAAGGTATCTTTCTAACCTTCTTCGCTTGTAAAAGATGATGAGAATAATAACGATAACAATCACAACAATAGCACCAACAGCGCTTCCTACGACAGTTGCTGTTGGACCTGAAGGGACTCCAGTTGGATTTGATTTGGGTGGAGAAGAGACAGTGCTTCCTACGACAGTTGCTGTTGGACCTGAAGGGACTCCAGTTGAATTTGTTTTGGGTGGAGAAGAGACACTCGGTGACAAGGATGGTGTGGGTACTACGATGGTAGTGAAAAGAAAGGACAAGAGTTAGAAATACCAAGGTAGCATCAGAGTCAGTAGATAAATAATTAATAAATCAGATACTAGATTAAAATAGTTGATAGATTAATGATAAATGAATCAAATACTAGCATATGATCATAATTGATTGTAATGGCACGGGGGGATACATCCCCCCATCCCCCCCCCCCCCCCGGGATCGACACCCATGCACACCATATTATATATAAAATCTTATTCATAAACACATGAGTGTGTACTCTTCGATCGCCATCACATCTTCTGGCTGTACACGCTGTAAACATGAAGACTTAAGGAAAAGCCGATCCTTCATGGCATCAGTTCTAGCTCTGTGCAATTCTCAACCCGTACCAATAAGGAATACATCTTCTCTCGATACGTTTAAGAAAGCCCCTCAGACCTATCTTTTCTTTAAGTAGTGTTTATCATTTCTGTATTATGTTTATATTCTCCAATTATAATGTAAAGCGCAACGAGAATAGCATTGTAATTATTATGCGCAAAACAAATTAAAGGTTATTATTATTATTATCATTATTATTTTCATTATTGTTATTATTACTATTATCATCATCATCATATAAGTTATTATTTTATCATTATTATTAATATTATAGGATTTCCCGGCCAAATTCGCGAGATTGTCATTCAAATTAATTTGTCTTGCGTTCAAATTCGACGGTTTTAGTGCAGTCAGGTATATCTCGGGTTTATATTCCCTTTTCTAGTTTTCAAATCTATGGACTTTTCGTTAGAATCTACGTATGTTTCATTCAAATTAACGAACATTATGCTTCTTTCGCTATTTGGTCATTCGATTTGGCGCAACACGATTTTCTGACAACGCGACGGTGTACTTTTAGCATTCTAATTCATTTGTAGCATTCAAATTAACACTTTGTGCACTTAAATTGATGGTCATTATACATTTCTCGTTTATTACACACTTTTTATAGCTCATTCTTTTTCTTTCAAGATTGTTTTTTCATGTGTATTTCATCATATTTCATTTTCTTGCATTTATACACTTATTATTATTAGATTTATCTGATATTCATCAGCATTTAAGTTTGATTGTTAAGAAGAAAAAAACGACTTGCATCTACGGACCTGATGGTCTCAGTATATTTGTAAATGTTCATGTAAGGAAGTTGTTTGTCTTATGTTTTATCATAAATTGATCACAATTTCATCATAATTTCATTATGGAAGAAGGGCATAATATTGTGACTGGAGTAGGGAGGGACTAGCGTCAACAATTTGAACATGATTAATTATTTAGCCATGTTTTAGCCATCGATCTGCTGGCGGGCAGGTAAACCATGAAACTCTTTAAGAAAAACAGAGGGGCGTGCTGGGTATTACTATGTGAATTACTTTTGTAAAATTCCGAGTCTGTAGTAAAAAAGGGCGATTGAGGGTACCCCCACCTTTCCCGGGTATATGAACATGTCCGTGCAGAAATGCCATATCCCTTGATTTCGCCCCCTTCTCTACTTTATGTGTGACTACACCTATCTGCATTGTCCTGAAAATAAATAAAAGGAATAACAGCTTAGACCCTAATGGCAAATCATGCATTTTAACTGCATTATTTAAATACTGTAAAAGTTTGTTGCAATTCTTCCCCCTAACATTCCTAACTTGAATAAAAATATTACGAATACGAATGACAGGTGTTAATTTGAATGATAAAAATTACGCTTCGACAAGTGAATATTAATTTGAATGCTAGTTAAGCAGTTTCTAAATTGAATGACAGATCTATGAAACCCTTCGACCAAAATCCTAAATTAAATACAAAAGCTGGAAAATTGAATGATTATTGGCATGGCAAAGCCGATCTGCGCTAACTGAAATGCAAAGTAAATGAATTCGAATGACAAACACGCGAATTTGGCCGGGAAATCCTATATTATTATCTTTATTATTATTATTGTTATCATCATCATCATCATAACTCTTATTATTATTTGTATTATTATTATTATTATTATTATTATTATTATTATTATTATTATTATTATTATTATTATTATTATTGTTATTATTGAGGAACTCCATTCATGTGCCAAACTTAATGATATTTTGACAAAAGAACATCATCGAAATGATATAGCGGAATATTTTTACGTGACATTGCTCTTTATTGTTCAGCGATCAACATTCACTTCATCAAATATGTTACGACATCACCTAGAAGAGTGTAAGTGAATTATTACCCATTTAATCTTGGTAAATTAAGTAGAGTTTACATAATAATTAAAGTAAACAAGTTGATTATTTTTCAGCTCGTATCATTTGTAATTAATTTTGGATGGTACAGAAATGACAGCCCGTCTAGTGCAGGGATGATATATAACGATCATCGAAGTGTATTAAAAAGAAAATGCGTTTGATCGTCATTTAGTATCAGAAAGTTTTTCTGATATAACTGTATTGATATCACTTATAGGATTATTCGTTAGTCATTATTATTATCATTATTATTATTATTATTATTATTATTATTATTAAAGATCATCATTGCGTATTATTGGTTTCATTATTTTCTGTTTTCATTATTGATTATTTAAAATGGTTACATTGGGTTTCTCTTCTAAATCCGATCTTACTAAAAAAAAATGATTTAAATTTCACACGCCGTATATAAAAACTGGTCAAAAAATATTTAAAAGAAATTCAAAGAATTTTTTTTGTTTAAAATGTCTGATAATAGTTATCTAGAATAAAGTTGCACAATGTTACCTTACATGCTCCCTCAGAGCTAGACTAAACATGGTGAAACATGGTGAAACAAGGGGTGATAATATCTGTAAAGCGCTCAGAGACGGTATTTCGTATTAAGCGCTGAATAAATCCAGATTATTATTATTATCATCAATATATGCAAAACGATATGAAATACTTACCGATAGGCATACCGATAGGTATACCGCTAGGTATTTGGCAGATAGGTCGTCTTGTTGATGTGCACGTTACTAGGTACCATAGTCCATGTATTGTGTCACCGCTCCGAGATCTCATCACAGCACAGTAAGGTGGTAGGTCAGGCCTCTCGTAAAGATGTGAATAATCCCAGTTTTTATACCTTGAAAGAGTTTAACTTATATTATAGGCCTACAATTTTTGTTTGATTAAAGCACATCATTAATTCCACGGAAATACTGAATATATATATATACGAGACATAGGTCCACAATCATGGTTTAACTTATATGTATTATAGGCCTACATAATTTGTTTATTTAAAGCACATCATAAATTCCACGGAAATACTAAATATATATATATATGAGACATAGGTCCATCATATCATGACTCGAGTGTCTTTGGGGGAAAATGTATCTTCTGGTAAATCAATACAAAGTGCCTATGACTAATTTTGTAAATGCATTGACATGGTAGATTTGGCATGTAGCTAGGATTGTTTCTTTCCTTCGTTGACAAAACTTGAGTTCCATTCTAATTTATGCTAATTTATTATGAATTAACGATCAATATCAAGTTCATGCAATCAAGAATGGAGACTTGATGGCTTTCAGTATTCCACATGAATTCGGCTTTCAACAATAATTTTCCCATTATCTGACATTAGCCATTTGAACTTGTGACACGTGACGTAGTTCAATCTATCAGGATAACATCGAAGATTTTGCATGACTCAGAAGAATCCTGGAATGTTTAATAAGATTTGATCAAAATGTGATAAATCAACAATAATTCAATGATGTATGTGGTGTCATGATTAAAATTAGATTATATTTCATAATGATTTTAATAATGGTTTAAGGCGCGATGGCTCCTTGGAAGAGCAGTGATCTCGTAACCGGGAGATCTGGGTTCGAAACCAAGTCGATGTGCTAATGCCCTTTTATAAGGCATTAATCATCATTAACAAGTCCCTCGGGGAGGACTTATAGCCGTCGCTCCACCGACTTACAAGCATACACATGCTTTCTTAGCAGTCAGGTAAAACCAACCAATCAATCACAAAAGCTTTCGGGTTTCCGATATATTCCTCACCTAATTGCAAATTCGATCCTTATTATTCTTTCTTGGTTGAATTAGTCAGATGGCAAATTGCCTCCATTGCCCCTCCTCTTCGAATAGCTAGTGCCCCTTTCCGCGCACGTATGCCAATTATTAAAACCACTGACATAAAGAAAAAAATGGTTATGGGGAAAAACGAATTGAAAGAAGGAGTGGTAGTATATCACGATGACAGTAATGATACATACCCAGCTAGGGCCGTTCCATCAATCCATCTGTATGTACCATCATCCATCTTTTCTAAGCCGATGTAATAGCGGCCGTTACCCTCCTCAAAACTCATGGTATTGGCAATGAAATCCTATTCATATTATGAAGAAAAGAGGGGTACATTTGGAGAAAAAAAATTATCAATGTAGCAAAATGCAAAATGTTCTCATTTCGGGGGAGGGGAGGGGTGAACACCCCTACCCCTAATTAAAATGATCGGTTTCCGAGTCGCATGCATTGCGTCCCTGGCTAGCCCCCTCAACATTTTCGGCACATTACGGCACTGGTTACAATGGGAATATTTTTTAATAATTCAAATCGGAGTTTCAGATGCGAAATGTCTAAGAACACTTCCACGTACGAACGTTTATATATTTGAGTTCACTGGTAGAAAATCGTGAGACAGATGACATAAGCACCAGTTTTGTGGTGTGCTTTTATCTGAGAATTGTCCATGGTGTACCGTTGGGTGGTTTAAGTAATGCCTACCAGTCAATACAAGTTTTCTTGAATTGTTTAACTTCATAGAAAACCTGCCAATTAGAATACGATTGTTGCTATCAGTCTTGGCAATATTCTACTGCCCTATTTGTTCTGAAGAAACGAAATAGATGCAAACAAATGCTGATACTGCATAGCATATGTTTCATTTTGGAAAACTGTATAGGGTTTCAGTAATACGTTTTGCTCCATGAAAATTCTGATAAATATATCATGTATACACTAGATGGTAAAAATGCGTACGTACATTTTGTTCAACTGATGTAATGATTGGCATGTCACCACCTAAGCTTTGACAGTATGCACGTGTTTCAGAGAATGTCTTGCCAGTACCACGGTAGAAGACATAACAATAGCCACCAAACACATTCAACCCTGATGTAGAACACACCTGACATTCAACTGTAAGATAATAAGATACAAAGAATCAATACGGTAATCTATTCTTGACGATAGGGATTCATCATAACACCCCCCCCCCCCCCCCCCCTCGCCGTCTTCGGATTGTCCATGATATTTATTTTAAAAAGGAAAATAGAGGAAAGAACCTGAAAGGGAGATTTTGAAGAAAAAAGGAAAAGAATACGGAAGTGAAACGACGATATGACATTAATCTCTTTCACCCTCCCTAATTCTAGCCCCTTTCATTAATTTCATTCATCTGGTAGACCTTTGTCCCTTCCCCTCCTACAAATTTCCTACAGGGGCGTCTAATCTACGGCAGGAGCAGTTCTTTCCTAAATCATGTTGGTAATCGACTGTCTATCCTGTATAACATATTATCTTAAGGGATCAATTTACAACTAGAATAATATCATTATAAACATAGAATGTATAAAGGAAATGTAGTATAAACAAAACAAAAAATACATGTACAAAGAATTATACGTTGCATCAGTAGGCCTACACACCTGATACCAAAGAGATTAGGGAGGAGGGATAAAGGTACAGAGGGAGGGGGCTGAGGAGGGGGAGAGGGCAAGAGAGAGAGAGAGTGGGGTAGAAGGGAAAGAAAAAGGGAGATAGAAAGATGTGAATACGAGGGCAAAGATAAAAGGTGATGAGAAATAGAGCCGAGAGTGAGAAAGAGAGAGAGAGAGAGAGAGAGAGAGAGAAACTATACAAAGAGACAAAGAGAGACAAAGAGAGAGAGAAAGAACGAGAGAAATGTAGACCATGAGTATACATACTTTGTTAAGTGATTATAATAATGGTCCTATGTTCATTTTGATTGCCAGTGTAAGTTCACTCGAACGAAACTTATGCAGTGATTTGATTTATTGGTTTCTCTGCATCTTTTTTTCATCATACATTTTCATGAACATAATATGGTTTGATACAATATTTCATATGTATATACACAGAAAATAAACGAAATTAAACAAATATATTGAATGCATAATTAACATTGAATTGATACATTATTTCATATGTGTATAATTTTATACAGAAAATATGCAAAGTTAAACAAAGATATTGAATGCATAATTAACATACAGAAAATAAACGAAATTAAACAAATATATTGAATGCATAATTAACATTGAATTGATACATTATTTCATATGTATATAATTTTACACAGAAAATATGCAAAGTTAAACAAAGATATTGAATGCATAATTGACATACATTAGATGCAGGAGGGCTACAACATAAGCAGAGGAGCTTCACGTGCCCGCAGCCCTCAACTTAGATAAAACAATACAAATAAAAAAGCAGAAGAGTGACTTAAAGAGAAGAGAAGGAAAGGACAGAGAAAGAGCGTTGGTTTTCTTTTAATTCAATAAAACAAATACATCTGCTGATTGAACGCAGGTTCATTCATAGATGAATAAACGATGCTAGCACTATGAACATGACTGACAAAGAAAGCGGACAAAATATACAGTTCCTCAGGTAGACAATGGAACATCCCTTCACTGCTATTATGTAAAAATGTGTAGAACAGGTGTCACATGCATATCCACCTTTCTACATAATAGCAGTAAAGGGATGTTCCTTTGTCTACCTGAGGAACTGCATATTTTGTCCGCTTTCTTTGTCTGTCATATTCATAGTGTAGGTCATGGACGATTACACATTATTAGTTGAATGTACAGTCACTGTACACACGCACATGAATATAGTAGAACGACACACGACAGGATCAATACTTAGACAACAACCAAGTTTTAACCGCCTTCTTAAAAGAATACAATGTCCGAAGGTTTCTTATTACAATGGGCAGAGAGTTCCAGATGTCTGGGCCGGTGTGTCTAATGGATTTGAGAGCCAATGCGGTTTTTGGATTACTTAAATGGAATTTTTCAGTTTGCCTTGTAGGATAAGAGTGGATGGTTTTATTCAAATTAAACAATGGGGGGAAGTATGAAGGTAGTAGACCATTTTGTAAGCGAAACATGAAGAGTGCAATTTGTAGAATATTTACATCATCAGCTTTTAGAGTTTTTAGTTTTGAAAACAAGGGATTGGTGTGGTCGCGATAGATAGAATCAGAACATATACGCATGGCTTTCTTTTGTAACAGTAAAATGGCGTCAACATTGCTTTTTGAATTTTCCCATATAATGTTACAATATGAAATATAAGGCAGTATAACATAAACAAGATATTTGAAGGGACATAATAATTCAATTTACAGAGAATACCAATATTACGTGAAATAGTATTAGAAATATATTGCACATGATTGTTCAACCTCAGATTTTCATTAATCAAAACACCAAGGAATTTTGTGCTATCCTTTTTTTCCAATAATTCACCATCCAAAGTAATTTCAATGTAAGGAACATCGCTGTTTTTCCTGTTCTGAAAGTATATATAGTTTGTTTTCTTTAAATTAAGGGATAGTTTATTACTTCTAAACCATTTTGATAATTTTGGTAATTCAGCGTTAATGTTTCTTAAAGGGGTCTGAAAATCTGAATTGGAACAAAATGCATTGGTATCATCAGCGAATAAAATATACTGTAGTGCATTTGATGAATTATAAATATCATTTACATAATATGACAGAGGGCCGAGGATTGACCCCTCTGGCACTCCACACGTTGTAGAACATAATTCTGATTCATTTGAATCATAACATACATATTGTTTTCTATTTGTTAAATAATTGTTAAACCATTGTATAGCAACACCCCCTCAATCCGTAGTATTCCAATTTACGTATAAGTAGTGTATGTTCAAGAGTGTCAAATGCCTTGCCATGAATACTCTAATAACATGCTTATGATCAGCTAAGGCATTTGACACTCTATCAAATAATTGTAACAATGCTAACTCCGTTGAATGACATTTTCTAAAACCATATTGATTTTCATACAACAGTTCATTTTTTGTTAGAAAATCATACAGTCTATTATAAACCAGTCTTTCTAAGACTTTAGAAATACTTGGTAAGATAGAAACAGGTCGGTAATTCGAAACTAGAGAAGAGCCGTCTTTTTTGTATATTGGAATTACTTTTGCTATTTTCAATGAGTCCGGAAAGACTTCTGTTGTAAGTGATAAATTACAAATGTGTACTAGAGGCGTTACAATACTTCCTGCTATTTGTTTTAAAAAGTGCGTACTTATTTTATCACGACTACAAGAATAACTTATTTGCAATGAATTGACAATATTCAAAATTTCAACACAGTTTGTAGGCATAAAGAAAATGATTTACTACATGGATTTGAAAGGTATTGTAAATAATCTGAACCATTGGAATTTATTTTCGATGCTTGAATAGGGCCTTCATTTACGAAATACTTATTAAAACAATCTATCTCTTTTGACTTGGTCTTTTGCTTTTGAAGAGTTTCTTTTATGACTTTCCATGTAGATGCCATATTGCCGTTAGCATTTTCAAATTCTTTTACATAGTACATATTACGAGATAGTCATTGCGGATGTAGTATCGAAAATAATATCGCTAGTGATATTATTTTGTCTCCTAATGTGGTCAATAAGGAATCTAAAAGATCACGACGTTTCGTGCGCTGCTGCAACACTTCGTCAGGTGATAAAAACTAACGTGAGCAAGCGTCTTTTATACTCTACGGGAGGACCGGCGCAGCGGTCAGTAATTCGATCGATAATTGGAACAATAACGCACAAGGCCTATGGTCGACGCACACGGTGCTCGACCAATCAGATTAGTTGTTATCACCTGACGAAGTGTTGCAGCAGCGCACGAAACGTCGTGATCTTTTAGAATCCTTATTGACCACATTGCGAGACAAACGAATATCACTAGCGATATTATTTTCGAGTCTCATTATTGTTGTTAATTTATTCCTATAACAGTTATATTCGTATTTATTCTCGTTACTTGGATGTCGGAGACTACGTTTGTACAATATATTTCTTTTCTTAATCGACCAAAAAATTCCCTTCGTTATCCGTGGATTTTGTGGTTTTCTTTTATTTATATTTTGTTTAGTCTTTGGAATACATCTATTAAAGTGGGCTCAAAATATATTCCAAAAAAGTCCATATGCAGTATCAGTTTCACTACAAGATAGTACATCATTCCATGTTTCCATCATTAAATCATTATTTAAAGATAATATTTTTCTGTTTTAAATTTACGAGACATTGATATTTCCTTTTGTTTTGTACGAGACATGAGATCATTATCACAAATAAGAAATATAGAAATATGATCAGATATTTCACTGTAAACTAGACCAGCATTCATATGTTCAGTAACAACATTCGTAAAAATATTGTCTATTAAAGCTTATCTGCCATAGTTTATATGAGGGATAAGACTGCCCTGCAAGGTCACTGGACAGGTGTTTATCTCATCAACTCAACATAATTATATTTTACTTTATTTTACTATATATTTTGTTTCCGTTTCAATGTGGACAACTTTATGCAAAACCAGATTTGAATACAAAGATAAGAATTGCTATTTAGTCATGTTACTAGGGAACAGAGATAAAATATACAAAACATTTTTAACTAGAGAAATAGAACCCAAGTCAGATTATTGTATTACTTCATCGTGAATATGTAAAAACTGTTAACACAATTGTACAACAAACAATTAGTGTTTATAAATAAATATCTTTAAAACATAAAACACAATAGAAAGTGTTTTTTTCTCAGAAAGGTTGATTGATGTACAACATGTTGAAATAGAGTAAATTTGTCATCTATTACTAGGGTTGTCTACGAAGTGTTCTTTTTCAGGTTGATGTCAAGCCTTAGTTGTCGCTTCCATCTGCACCCTCCGTCTCCGTCTCTTCTTCACTATCATCGTCATTCTCATCCTGATACTGGAATAACCCCTCGAATTGTGCACCGTGTCTTGCTAAGACTCTTTTCACGGCTTTCCGAAGATTCATGCCATTTTCTACTTTTTCCGTGAGATCAGACATAATTTCATCATTGATGTCAGCGCT